GTTGGCTAATGCTACACACTGACTCCCTCTCACTCACACTCGCGCTCTCTCTCTCTCTCGCTCTCACACTATCTTGCTCTCTGTCTAACTGTATGTAGCATAGCATTAATGCAATTTCAATGGTCAATGCGAGAAACACACAATTTCGATTTGCCATTGTTACTAATGTTGTTGTTGTTGTTGCTGTTGTTGTTGCTGTTGTTGCTGTTGTTTGATCCGCTTGTTTTTTATGCCCATGGCCCGGGCACACAATTTGGCTTTAGCTCCGGCTCTGCCTCTGCCTCTGTCTGTCCGTCTGTCTGTCAGCCTGCCGGCTTGTTTTTGCTACCGGGGCTGGTATGCAGCTAACTCCCACAGGAATTCCCAGGCAATATAACTGAAAGCAAAAATGAAGATAACAGTCAGCGCGGCAAGTGCAAATCCACCCGTCCATTTAACAACCAACCAGCCCCGGCTGCCCCCACCAACCGTCTGAGCCCAAACGCTTCCAGCCACCTGACGAGCTCATTCACATCCACATCCACATCCTCCTCCTCCTCCTTCTACGTATCCTGAATTCACATCCTCATGCGCCTTTTGCTAACCAACTAACTGCCTTTTTGCTTGGCACCGTCTGTGGGCGTTTGAATGGGTGGTTCGGCGGTTCACTGCCTCGATGGCTCGATGGCTCGATGGCCCGGTGGTTGGGCCTGACTCTGTTTGATGCTTGTAAAGACCACTTTACCCGCTATAATAAAAATAAATCATAATATTTTGCGTCCCTCGTCGCGTGCAGCTCAGATCAGATGGGCTGGAACTGAGGCAGACACAACCTGTGCGAACCCTTGCACAGTGGGACCGAACACCATGAAAAATGAGCGAATGCTTTCTCTATTGTGTGTTTACTTGCTCTATAAGAAAATACTCATTATATATATGTATATGTAGTAATATATGTCAAGATGAAGAATAGTTCTAGAAAGAAAGACCTGCGAGAGAGCTCTCTGATAATCAAAGCTAATTAACTCGCCCAGCTCGGTTAACCTATGATATCTAAGCAATCTATTTCAAGAATGACAAACGGTTTTTAAATTCGGAAATTACAGTAGCATAAATCAGCTTCCAGAAATACTTATCGATAGCCGAATAATTGTCTATCTAGATTCACTTACAAGAACTTTTTGCCTTAAGCTGAAAAGTCGCATTAGAAATAATATTCTTTGCACCACTGTCAAGGCACACACACGGAAAGTTCGCACACTCCGGCGTTTACCTTGTTTGCCGGTACTCAGCTTCGGCGACGCTCGTCGCTCGTCGCACGGCACTCGGCTCTGGAGCAGTTGCTGTCGTCATCCGTGTAGCGAGGTTGTAACCCCGGATAATGTACTTAATGCATCTACATATTAATGTCGCCCTCTTCTTTCCTGTCCGCTCCTCCCCTCGCCTCTACCCTGCCAGTTGCCCCTTGGAAAATCCTTACCGGCTAGTAACATGAATAGTATTTTCTATTACTCGGCCGTATTGTGGTCCCCCGTGTACGGGTCGTCCTTGCCCGGCTCGCCTCTGCCTTTGCGCTTTTTTTGCTGGTTCTCTGTTGTTTTTATTGCACAGGCGACCGGCGCACGGCTCGCCCACCCGCCTCTGGCACCCTCCCTGATGCGGCGCGGTACGGTCCACGATTACACTTGTTCCATCACCGTGTGGCCGTGCGTGCGCCGTGAGCTAAATGAGAAGGGGATGCAGCTACCTGTGGGCGAGAGTGCGAGTGTGCCAGAGTCCCGGTTATATTGATATGTCTCCCAGTAGGGCTCGCAAAACAGCCGGTAGCGCAGTTAAGCTGGGACCGCAATGTGTAAAAAATTACGAGCTACATTGAAAATAAAATAAAAGAGGGGAAAAAAAGCGAAAAGAAAACAAAGAAACGAATGCGAATGCGATTGCGAGTGCGAGTGTGAGTGCGAGGCGCACGGTCTGTCACTCGAGACTGACGCCGGGTGCTGCTGGCCGTGACTGGAGACACGGCTTGGCTGGCTGTGGCACACATCACGAGAGACGCTCTAATTTGTTAACCCTGAAACTAATTTGCGCGAATGCGTCCAGCTCGAATTCCCAGTCCGCCGTAGGCGAGCCTGTTTAATCGCATAATTAAATATTTCTATTGCTTCACAGGTATTTCATGAGGAGTTCCGTAGGTTTAGTTGGGCACTTGGTAATGCTTTGATTCTCTTTTGAGCCTATGTCGATAGATCTTGATGTTTGGTAGATATGGTTGTGGACGCTAGAGCATTCTGAAATGTTTTCTTTATGGTATCATAGGTAAGTATATAGAGTATAGGTATTACCTTTTTGTTAGTCATCTATTTGGTCTTTCTCTCAAAGTTTCACAATCCAAGGATTCCGACCTGCGAACTTGAGATAGAGGATAGATGCGAAAAAGTAGCTTATTATTCCTTTGTTAAGATCTTCAAATGTTATCAGGATATATATCAGAATTGTTCTTTCTTACGATCCCCTGGAAGAGGTTCCTATGGCCATTGCCACTGTTCTATCTAGCCTCCTCCATATGCAGTTTCACCAAAGACTTACTCGTCTTCAGCTGAAATCGCTTTGCAAGTGCATTGAACAGGTGAACCACCTTGCGAAGCTCTCGAAATCGAAGCACGGCGCGCACATGTCCTGGGAATAGTCGTGGCAGTGGAAAAAAAAAGTCTTGTTTTTTTTTTGCGGCTACGGCTGCTGCGAGTGCGAACGGTAGAAGGTAAAAGGTAAAAAGTAAAAGTGGATAAGGACACGTACTGCTGAGGTCCTGTGTCCTCGACGTTATAAAAATAAAATAAAATCTATTACGTGGCAAACCACCCCCCACATTTATGTGGCAATTTGTTCTAGCTTGATTGTGTGCGTGTGTGTGTGTGTGTGTGTGTGTGTGTGTGTGTGTGTCTGTGTCAACGCAGCCAAAAAGTAAAGTGTATCATTTTCCCATTTGGCGGTGAATGCGACCCCTTTTCTAGTTCCACGTTCCGAGCACTTCTCGCACTTTGTCTCAATTCCCAACTGTCAAGTTGCCTCCCCTCGCGTCGCCCTTCCCCTCCTCCCCCACTACTCCCATCTGCCCGCCCAGCTATCGTACAATTTATGAAGATTTGTGGACTGAGTGCTATACCATGTGCTAGAGGGTTGCCAGCCCGTCAGCCCAACAGCCACGCCCCGTCGGTTAGCAAACGCCCTAGTGCACTTGTTTTGATTTGTTTGGAATAATAACAGATGCTTACCGTTCATATTATTCATTGTTCAAATTATTAACGCTTGACAATAAAAACTGTATTTGATCAGCACTCGAGAGGAGCGTCGCACCGTACGACCAAAAACGGATACCCTGTAGCCCGTATACGGCCGCAGCGGCCGGGCAAATTGCAACTTGTGCAAATATTTATGTACATTGAAAATTACTCATTTGTGTTACACCAATTAATTTCAACAAACAGCAACAGCGACAGCGACAGCCCAAACGGCAAACAGCAAACAGCAACAATAACAATGAGCGTACCATCCATCCATTTATAAGGAGCTACGTACCATTGTTCTTGCTGTCCTGCGTAGCTCTCGTCCGCTCTGGTTAAACAAATGGAAAATGAGGTCTTTTGTTACCTAAAATAAACGATGTTTGTTTGCCGGACTCTACCCAAACTCAACCCCCAACACCCCAACACCCCCCAATCTCACACATATCGCAGCTAGCCTCGTGTGCAGGTGCTCGAAATGGGGGACGGTTCGCTGATTATTAGCTCAAATGCATTTGATTTTCGGTTTTTGCTTTCGCAAATTGCGCCACACAAATTGCCACTTCAACTTTTTGTTTACATTGCAATTTTTCAACGGTCACCCCTAATGCGCCAACCCCCCTAACAAATTGCAACTAATTTGACAAAACAGAGCCCCAAGTGAACTTTCTGTTGATTAGCGGTAGCTTAAAGCCACCTGGCTTAAAGGCCCCGAGCTCCACATTGAAAACGGAAATAGTTTTTGTCGCCATCCCGATGTAGTGAGAATCGCAAAGGAGAGCGCTCATTTAGGTGAATCCAAAGCTTAGGCAAATAGAATATTTTGAAGAGTCGGGAGAGATTGAGGAATTGAGAGAGAGAGAGAGAGAAAGGGGGGAGGTAGAGGAGGAATATCCAAAGAAACACTCTTAGCTTAAAGAGAGTTGAAGAAAATGGACTTTACGTTTCCCATAGATAGAAGAAGATGGAGGGTTACAGGTCTTTTAAAAAGGCAAAAATGGAACAAAAGAAATTTGAAAACTAAATGAATATAGCGAAGTAGGGTAGGGAAACAAACGAAGAGAGAGCGAGAGAGAGAGAGAGAGAGAGAGAGAGAGAGAGAGAGAGACAAAAAGAAGAGACACAATAGATATTGAGGCAGAGAGAAAGACAAAGTGCATAGTAGAATGCGATGTGATGATGAGAGCAAGAAATGGTTAGATTAAGATAGTAAGCGAAAATATTTAAAGACAGGAGAAGTAAAAATATACAGCAAAAGAAATAGCAAGGTAGCAAAGGTAAAGGAGAAACAGACGAGAAAATCAAAAAGGGGGAGAGATATGGAGAGAGATAGGGAGAGACACTGAGAGAGAGAAGAGAAGGCGAGATGCACAGGAGAATAAAAAGCAAGAGCAATATGGGTACATTGAAATGGAGAGGGATAGATAAAAATGCGATGAGGTGACCTAAAATTGTGGTGAGACAGATAGGGAGAGAGTTAAATATATATAATTGGACAAGCAATTGAAAAACCAGAAATAAAATCCATAGCCCGATTTGCTGACCATTAAATTCGCGAATGATCCATCAGATTAATCATCAACATTGAACGGAAGGATGGAGGTGAAAAATTCGAGCTCGGATTCGATGGGAATCTTGGCTGCTTGGCTTTGCTTTTACTTACAAAAATTTTGTTTTTTGATCGACTGGACTTGGGTTTAAAATTCATTTAGGGGTGTTTCGAAAAGAAAACAGTAACAAAAAAACCAGATAAAAAAGAGAAAAAAAACTTCGTCTCGATCTCAGTTTAAATTCTAAATTTTCAAAGACTGCAATATATTCGGACACCCATTGGCATTAAAATTACCGGTGAACCAAAAGATATCTATATCTAGAAGAAGAAGGGATCGAGCAGGACGATTGGAGCGCTGAATGGAAGCATTTTAAATTAAACCAAATCAATTAAGGAATCGGAAATTTCAGGTGTTATATCCGGTTTATTAAAACATCGTCCCGACGGCGTCCCAAGCGATAAACCGCGAGCCGCTAATCGGCAATCACGGCCACAAGCCAGCCGATATGGCCGAGGTTCTTAATTTGGATAACATCATTGGCAGACTCCTGGAGGTGCGAACAGCCCGGCCCGGCAAGAATGTGCAACTGAGTGAGACGGAGATACGAGGGCTGTGCCTGAAGTCGCGCGAAATCTTCCTCGCGCAGCCCATTCTACTTGAGCTGGAGGCGCCACTGAAGATCTGCGGGGATATACACGGTCAGTACTACGATCTGTTGCGGCTGTTCGAATACGGCGGCTATCCGCCGGAGTCCAACTATCTATTCTTGGGGGACTATGTGGACCGGGGCAAACAATCCCTGGAGACCATCTGTCTGCTGCTCGCCTACAAGATCAAGTACTCGGAGAACTTCTTTCTGCTGCGCGGCAACCATGAATGCGCTTCAATCAATCGCATCTACGGCTTCTATGACGAGTGCAAGCGACGCTACAGCATCAAGTTGTGGAAGACATTTACGGACTGTTTCAACTGTTTGCCCGTTGTCGCCATTGTGGACGAGAAGATATTTTGCTGCCATGGCGGCCTCAGTCCGGACCTGACGTCCATGGAGCAGATCAAGCGTATTATGCGGCCCACCGATGTGCCCGACCAGGGACTGCTGTGCGATCTGCTGTGGTCCGATCCGGACAAGGACACCATTGGCTGGGGCGAAAACGATCGGGGCGTGAGCTTCACCTTCGGCGCCGAGGTGGTTGGCAAATTTCTGCAAAAGCACGATCTCGATCTCATCTGCCGGGCCCATCAGGTGGTCGAGGATGGCTACGAGTTCTTTGCCAAGCGTCAGCTAGTCACGCTCTTTTCGGCGCCCAACTACTGCGGCGAGTTCGACAATGCGGGCGCCATGATGTCCGTCGACGAGACGTTAATGTGCTCCTTTCAGATCCTCAAGCCCGTCGAGAAGCGCAAGAAATGAACGATATGGCCGACGTCTTTAACTGTTTCAGCCTCGACGTGTAAGCCTGTATCCAATATGATTGTATCCAATCAGAACACACATAGCCAAAGCCGTTTACAGACATAGCGACTGCAGCTACCGCTGCTTTCGTCTGGCCCAATACCACCCGAAATATATGCTTGTCTTTATTTTGCAACTTCTTATGGAAACTGATTCGCCAGTGTTTCATTTCTACTAATTATTCTGCTTTGTGATTCCGCTTTGACAACGCATTCGTAAACGTTTCGCCAGCAGTTGCTGCATTATCCAGTTAACGTCTTTCGCATCTAACTGATTTGGTATTTCTTCTCATATTCTTAACTGCTTTTTCTGTACCACCGTTAGAGCTGGACTGACAGATTGCAAATTTTACAGTTACTCTTTTGTTCCATATTCGTAAACGTTCAACTTGCATTCTGATAATACAAATTAAAATTAGATAAATGAACGTGCTTAGCTACATACTCTTTAATTATGATATGTAATGTCATTATTGTATTCGTAACTGTTTGGCTGGCGGCAGCATTTGTTCAGCGGTTTGCCGATTCTACTTTGCAGCTTATTCGTAGCCATCTTACGGGCAATACTTGAAGCAAACTTCTTCTATATGACGTGCCACGCGAGTAGATAAATCAAATATTCCTAGACATACGTACACACATACATACGCATATGAAAACCCCCTTTAATAGGGATATTCCGTAATACCGTTAACTGCGTGCGTGCCCGGCTGTGGGCCCAGTCAATAATAATATTATCAGCTGTCTGCAGCGAAAACAGACTGCGCCATAACAAATTAACAAAATGCTAAAAAATTAATGAACAATAACAAAACACACGACGAGACGCAGAAACAAAACGAAATGAAGAAGGCAACGGAGATGGAGAAGGAGTGGAAGAGAGGCAGACGACGAGAGGCAGATACAAGCAAACGGCAAATGATAAAGCCGGCAGCACTGGCAATGGCGCCAAAAACGCTTTATTATGCCAAAAGCGAGAATTAACAAATATAAAAATGAAAGCAAAATGGAGCAGGAAAAAATTGTGCAGAGGGAGCGCGAGAGAGAGAGAGAGGGGGGGAGGAGAGAAGGCGACAACAACAAATTACATTATATGTAATGAGGTCATTTGCGCGTAAACAATCAGACAGACAGACAGACAGATAGGCACAGAGAAATGGCGAAATGGGAGAGCGAGCGAGATGGCTGCACTAATGTTTAGTTGGGCAAAAAGAGAGCGCGCACGCTAGGCTCTCACATGTTTATCAACAAACTGGCAAATAAATAAATTATGTTGGCAAAGTCGTTAATAAATAATGAAGCAAAGCGCGCAACCCAACATACGGGTATGGGGCAAAAATAAAAAAAAATAAATAAAGCACCAAGACAAAAACAAAAGCTTGCCAAAAAGAAGAGGAAGAAGGCAGCAGCAGCGAGAACGACAAAACTGCACAGCACAATACAAAAGAAAAATGGCGGCGCACTGAACGAAACGAGCGAACGAAACGGCAGCAGAGGTGGTACGCGTGAGTGCGAGTGGGAGAGCAGCAGCTGCATGCGTGATTTAATATTTGTGTCTGTGTGTGTGCGGGACTGTGTGTGCTTGAGCTTAGGCCATTCAATTGCAGAAACTTTGTTGTCCTTCTTCTTCTGTTTTTTGCCATTGCCAAAACTGCATTTGTTTTGTCTTTTGATTATGCATTTGCAGCACACACACACACACACTCAGCTAGCGAGCAGTGCAGCACATACATACAACTTAACTAAACGCCACACCCACACCGGTCAGCCATCTCGCTCTGGCCCATGCAGCTATTGTCATTTGATTGCTCATCATTGGCGCCTTGCACAGCTGTTCAGCTGCTCAGCTGACGGCAGCGCCATCTAGCGCTCGAGTGTCGCTCGACGCATCATATATTTTGTGTTGCATAATTTTATTAATTACAAATTATGCGCTTAATGAAATGAGGCAACACACTGGCCACTGCCAGCTGCCAGCTGCCAGCTGTTAGCAGCGCCGTCAACGTCAACAGCGAACGGCAGCGCCGTCGCATCGGCTGTTTTCGTGGGCACTGCCCAAATAAATTTTGCATAAGCCTCAGCCAACCACAATGCAGCAGCAGCAAGAGTCGCCGTCGCAGCGGCTGTCACAGCCGCAGTAGCAGTAGCAGCAGTTATCGTCTGCCCCTCCGCCCATTCCAAACTCTCCAGCCCATAGGTCAACACACAGCTCACATGCTCTCTCGGCGCAGGGTGGTTGCGCAGTGCCACAACAGAGATAGCAATAGCAGCCGTAGCAGCGCAGCCGGCACAGCCAGCGAGTGGGAGCGAGCGCGCGATAGCCAGCCAGCCAGCCAGCGAGAGCGCCAAGGGTGCAAACCAATAACAGTCAGACTAATTTTGGGATTGGTTTATAATTGAAGAGTTTGCCATTGTGTTTGCTCAGGCAGCAGGCAGCAGGCAGCAGGCAGCACAGACAGTGGCTACCGTCGTGTAGTTTGTTTTTTATTTTATAGCATGCCCGTCTGCCTCTACTTAAATGCTGCCACTCTCTCTGGCGCTCTCACTCTCTCTCTATCGCTCTCACTCTGACTCCGCCAACATCTCTTATATACTGAGGCTGGCAAGCGGCGGAGCTGCGCTGCGGCGTCGGCTGCTGTCTTATTGTTTTTCGTAGGCCTCCCCCATGCGCCTGCTTATCATTTTAGAGTTTTACATAATTGGCACAGCGCACACATACACACACACACACACACACACGCACACTCTGACACCCTGTATGTGTATATGTATATATGTATATCTATGTATTTATAGCCTCTGTACGTGTGTCCACGTTTTATGTCCATTTCTAAGCGCCGCTTGAGGGGCGTGGTGTGCTACTACTACACACACACACACAGACAGAGCGCACGCATACATAGCGCTTGCTAGTTTTCGGCATTCAAAAAAGAAACTAAATAAATATGAGTGCCCCACCCAGAGCCGGACGGAACGGACATGGCGGCCAGGCTATTGGCGTTTTGTTGTTGCATACTTTTCAGCTGTAATCAGTTTAAATGCTTAACAAAGCAACAAAAAACACACACACACACACACACACAAAACAAATGGTCATAAGTATGGGTGAAACACAAGACTGAGAGCCAGAGCGCCGCAGTGAGCGAGCAAGCAGGCGTGAGAGAGACAGAAAGAGAGGAAGAGAGAGAGAGAGAGAGAGTGAGAATGAGAGCGAGTGTTAGTTGGAGCAAGCGAGCAGCAGCAGCAGCTCTGTGTGCCGAGGCAATGCGCAAACGAGAACGAGAGAGAGAGAGAGAGAGAGAGAGAGAGAGAGAAGTCGAAAGACAGAGGGGGAGGGGGAGAAAGCGCGATACAAAGCAGCAATGGCTGCCTCCCATGCTTTTTAGTTGCTATTCATATTTGTTTTAATAATTGAACAATTCTATAAATATTTGATGCATAGACAAAAGAGTTGTGCGCCGTGTCCCATGTCCCGTACCCCGTGCCCCGTGCCCCGTCTTCCGTGTCCGTGTGCCTGTCGCACTAGCGGCCCGCCTCGTCCCGCTGCCCACGTTGGGTGTCTCATTCAGTTAAGACCCTTTCAAAACTTTTGCCTCTGTGCGTGTGTGTGTGTGTGTGTGTGTGTGTGTGTGTGTGTGCGAGTGCCTCATCTCTCGTTCAATTAAAGCAACATGACACAAAAGATTTCGTAACAAGCGCCCACTCTCAGCCTGCTGCTGTTGCCCAAAAAAGTTGCGCCAGTTTTTCAAGTTGAGTTTTGCTCAAGTTTCCAGTTATTTTTATTTTCTTTTTACATCATTGTTGCTACAAGGCAGGCAAAGGGGTTTCTCCCTGGACTTTAATTAGAAACAAGCCGTTGTCCGCACACGCACACGCACACGCACACACATACACATACACACATTTACACATTTTAATACACAAAGTTTTGAACTTTAAATGCCATTTTTATGTTAGCCGCTCAGAGACTTTATTATTAAGACACATTTCGCAGGCTTATGTTTAAGCCATTTACTTGAATGGGCCATAAGCTGGGGCGCCACCAAGCAGACCTGCACCTGGCCAAGTTGGATCTATCAATTTGACATCCAGATTTGAGCTCTGTGAGCCCTGTCGATTTATTTAATATTATTGCTCTCACTTGCCTGCTCTCTCTCTCTCTCTCTCTCTCTCTCTCGCTCACTGGCTGCATCCCGTAAAACTTTTGTGCAAATAAAACTGAGATTATGATTGAATGTTGAAATTTGTTTTAGGCACATTTTTAATATTTAATTTATGTGTTAAGCAAGCATTGTTTAAGCGCATTTACGCAAAAATGCTAGACAACACAGATACCCTGGAATCGAAACATACGTGAGATAAAGGGGTATATAGTTGTATAACTACTGAAATATGATTGAATTGCCATTCATTTGAAAACCTTATCATTTGCTTGAAAATATATTATATGTACTGTCAATATTTTGAATATATATGGAATATATAAAAATACAATAATCCATCATAGGCGAATGGAATAAAGTTTTAGGATCTGAATACGTGGAATTCAGATAGACGGCAGGATCTAAATAGAAGCTCTAACTACCAATTCAATCTTGGATATCAAGCCGGATCAGTAATAACTTTGATAGGTGGTCTTTACACTCATCAAATATATCCATTGGTCTGCAAATCCAATCAATCGCGGAACAACAATTTCAATAATATTCACAAAAGTATTAGCTTTAAATGCCTGGTAATCTATTTATTTCTATTCTAATCTCTTTACCTCCCATTCGATCCTTTTGCAGATGCACCATTCAATGGATCAGCTGGACATGCTGGACCCGACGGGCTCGATGACAACGTTAGCCCCCATATCGGAGTCACCATTAACGCCCACACATCAGCACCTGCACGGTTCCTATCACAGTATGAATCACATGATGAGCCACCACCATCCGGGCACGTTAAGTGGCCACACGGCGGGTAAGTACATCCATTCCAAATGCAAATACACATACACATGAACTATATATATATATCTATATATATATGTATATGTCATATCCTTGCTGCTCAATAGGGCACCATGGACACTCAGCGGTACATCATCCTGTCATAACGGCGGCCGTTGCAGCCGCTGGCCTGCATCCCGACACAGACACCGATCCGCGCGAGCTGGAAGCGTTTGCGGAACGATTCAAACAGCGTCGCATTAAGCTGGGTAAGTCTGTTAAGAGATAGATGGGTAAACATAAATGGATAGATAGATAGGTAGATGATATATATGTAGGTAAAAAGATAAATAGTTATATAAATATGTATAAATATGTAGATACATACATAGATACATAGATGCATAGATACATAGATGCATAGATACATAGATACATAGATACATAGAT